AAATGGTTTTATTTGGTACTACGTATTATAATTTGCACATAAAATGTTTCACAATTTTGGTGTAACATGCTGCGCGCGCACCCTGCGCACCCTGAATTTCCAACACTGGACTTCAGGCTAGTTTCCTTCTAAATATTGCTGACCTTTATCCCCAATATTTATATAATCCTTGGTAGGCCTCTAACACACTAAATAATTCCTTGTAGGCCTCTAACCCACAAAATCCTAGTATGCCTCTAACCTACTCAGATATGTAAAACTAAAGAAAATAAAAAATATACAAGAAATATTCTACAAGATGAAATCATAACTTTTAGAGAAAGGTCTTAACTTCAAAGGGGGCCAGGGAAATTCTACTGAATGTCATCAGGACACAAAATGTTAATTGAAATTTACCAGAAGCAATAGATTTTTCTGGTTATGAGGAAAAAAACCAGAAATAGTGCAATTTTAAAAAATCTACTAATATTAATGGTTATAATGAAATTTCTCCACTAATTGATCAAAACAGATGTCAGAATGAGTACTGTGAGATAGTAAAATAAGGACCGATAGAGAGGTCCCGCGTTGCCGATCCAACCAAACCAAACTACTGCGGAAGTCGCGTGAAAATGACATCATTTCTATTTTTATTTTTTATTATATTTTGTGAAATTACTGCGGCACACATTTCGCAGTATCACATGTACACTCCCCTACAAAAAATTTCTGGACACAAGCGTTGTGTAACATAAAACGAAAAAAGTGTTAACTAAATAGAGTATTTTTTTTTAAATGAAACTGCCTTAGTGGCATTAAGTAGACTTGTTCCCAATATCATATAGTTATAATAAAAATAAATTTCAAAAAAATAAGCCTAAAGTTGGCCACATAATTTAATTTTCCATGAAAAGTGAAGAAATTTTAATCGTTTGTTTTTGGTAATAAGGTGATGTTAAATTTTTATGTTGTAACATTCATTGCACTCTTAGTAAAACTTGTTTTTGATGTTATACTGCATATGTATGTACAATTTTTTACAATAAACCTGTCTACAAACAAGCATAGGTAGTTATCCGGATATCATAAGTTCTTTAGTTAAATAATAATTTTTATTGCATGATTTTTTTTAAATGGCACAACTATTTAAACCTATTTCTTAACAATTTTTTTTTTTTTGTTTTAGGTCCATAATCCAAACTATTTAAAATATAATTCAAAGTATGTCAAAGTCAAAAGATACTTCTGATTTTGAGCGTGGAAGAATTGTTGGTTTATGGGAAGCAGGAAAAAGTTTTAGAGAAATAGCAGACATAACTGGACACCCGAAATCAACAGCACATGATATAGTATCTCAATACAGAGAAGGAGGTCAAGAAACTGCAAAATCAAGGCCAGGTAGAGAACACATTCTATCAGATCGTAATACTAGATACCTTGTTAAGACTTTAAAAGAAGATCAGAAGCAATCCCTTGAAGAAGTGACAGAAAAATTCAATGAATCACTTAGTTTATCTGTAAGTCTTCAACTGTGCATAATTATCTTCATGAAATGGGATATTATGGTCGTGTAGGTAAAAGAAAACCACTAGTAAGTGAAAAAAATCGTGTAAAACATTTGGCATGGTGCCGTGAAAGAAAAAATTGGTTAGATGAATGGAATTCAATAATCTGGAGTGATGAATCAAGGTTCAAAATATTTCAGAATGACTCTCATCATTGGGTTTGGCGTAGGCCTGAAGAAGGTTATGATGTTGATTGTTTAATTCCAACAGTTAAATCAGGTAGAAAAGGAGTTATGATGTGGGGGTGCTTCATTCACAATAGACTTGGTCCGTTAGTTGAAGTAAATGGCAAAGTCAATGGGCAGAAGTATAGAGAAATATTTCATAATAATCTTCTACCATTTTTAAATGAATTGGAGGATGAGTCAACATATTGCTTTCAAGATGATAATGCACCGTCTCACAGAGCAACAGAAACAATTCAATGGAAGGAAGATAATCTAATATCATTTATTCCTTGGCCTGCACAAAGCCCTGATTTGAATCCCATTGAGCATTTATGGGATGTTTTAGAAAGAAAACTTAGAGCAAGAAAACCATTGCCTAAAAATAAAATAGAATTAATTGATGTATTAAATGAAGAATGGCTTCATATTGAACCAAGAGTTATAGAAAATTTGGTACTAAGTATGCCAAGAAGAGTTAATGCCATTATTGAAAGTCATGGAAACCCTACACTGTATTAATTTTTTAGAATCTTTTTATGTATTTCACTTTATTATATAAATTATTTTATTATTTAATAAATGCTAATCAAAGATGCTTTGCTAATTTTTTCCTGTTTTATTGCATAATTTTTTAAGTGTTAAGCGGAACACCCTGAATTTTTACATTTAAATATTTTGACTCTTTCTGAAAAAACTTTCATTAATTATATAAATTTGTTTTAGACTTGTTTTTAATTTTTGGGTGGGTAGAATTTCTCCGTTGAAATTTGGAAATTTTTAATAATTTTCAAATCATTCTGTAAAATTCAATTTTCATCCAAAATTTACAAAAAGTGTTATAAATATATAATTTGATATTTCAAACAAGCTTACTTATTTACATAAATTATCATTATATAGTAAAAAGTTATTTTATTTTATTTTTCGTTTACCATATATTTTGATGATCTGCAAGTGTCTGGAAATTTTTTGTAGGGGAGTGTACAATTACTCATATTCATATTTCTATATTTATATTTCAAGAACTTGTTCAGCTGATGTAAATATTTACTTTAAATTATTAATTATTATTTGTAATGATCAGTTGACCCAAATATTTATTTTATATTAATAAGCATAGTTTATTGGACAAACTAGAGTAAAAGTCATGTTATTTGTAATACCCCAAGAGGTATAAAAAGACTTGGTTTTAGACCAAGTCAGAATCATGTTCATAACAATCTTTTAATTATTGATCTAATAAATTAATACACTGTAATAATATTATTATTATCGCTAATAAAACACAACATATTTTACCTTAAAATAATAATCTCTAATTAATCAAAGGGGAAACCTTTGCTGCACCAAGCAAGTAACCAACATTCTAATTATTGAGAGGCATCTCAAGTGGACGCCTTTGGGATATAATTACACATATAGAACCTAGGGACCCTTTTATCTGAAAAGATAAAAGTTATTTTACTAACTTTTGACCATAAGTCAGTGGGTAGGCTGTGTGTCATATATATAAATAAAGGAAACTTGATTGTAAGTCAGCGAGTAGGCTGTGTGTCAAACAATAGAATCAACCATAAGTCAGCGAGTAGGCTGTGTGTTGAGCTATAAATAACCTATTAATTGGGAAACTCGGATTGCACGCTCGCAACGTAATGAACATGGAAGCATCAGGAGGTTCCCTTCAACAGGATCAGAAACATGCTCTTAATGATTCAGGCAAAATATCTAACACTGGTGTGGATATTCCCCTTATGAGTCTCTGAAAGTACCTTGGTGCTAATATTGAGACTGCAAAGAAACTAAAAACATATAGTATACAAATTATTGGTATGGAAATTGTTTTCTTATAATATATATTGACATTAATATGATAACAATTTTTGTTGTCCTTGTAGAAGACCAAATCACGCTAATAGAAGTATCACTTTACAAACTGCGAATCTGCAAGGAAGTTGAGGCCCAAGTGCCATCTTTCCATTTGCATTGTCTTCCATAGGAGAATATATGGGGGCTTTTCAATAGAAACAGACCATGTTGTGAAAAAAGCAATTTTGAGTTAATACCATTGCTATATGTAACTCCTCATGTAGAACGTTTTTGGCTTAGAAACTATACTCACTTTGCATAGTAAAATATCAAGATACTTTTCTTTAAAGTTTCAAAAACAATAGTAAACCCCTTAAAATGCGGATCTTTTTTTTTGATCTCCTCAAAACATCATTTTCACAACATGGTCCATTTCTATTGAAAAGCCTCCATTTGTATTGATATTTTTATTTTAGCTTATAAATATTTAATTGGAATCAAAACACGGGGCAGATCTTGCTGGGTAATTACAAGATTTTCATTGATAATATTTTACTTTGCATAATCATTAATAATAATATTATTATTAATATATAATTACTAGATGTCAAGGCAGCATTGACTGTTGAAAAAAAAACAATTTGATATGCAACATTTGATTATCGGAAATTGGCAAGTGTTGAAGCATGCATGCTACCTTGAACACATTATGGCCATTCTCTCACATCTTCCTTGTGTTCACAAGGCTAAATTGACCTGATTGATTGATGATACAGAATCCCAAGGGTATTGAGTGGCTTTGGAGTTCACCAAGATTGCATCAATTGTCAATGACATTTTCACTAATCTTCCCAGACCAGAGAAGGCTGCTGGCATGCTAGCTGAAAAGTTGCCTGCAATGATCCCACCTCTAGGGTAAGGATAGCTCTGCGACCAAGCTGACACAACTCTGCTAATGAATTGTAGTGCCATGTAAATATCCAGATCCATCAAAGCAAAGAGAATCTGCAACTTGAAAGATAATATACATATATATAAGAAAGGTTCATAGTTTTTATGATAAACTGATTTTTTATTATAAAAAACCGAACATGGACTTTTCATCCATTCTTAAACATAATCAGAATTCAAATTTATAGTCAACAACTACCACTTTTATCCAATATTTTCAAATTCATTAAATGATATCCATCAAATATATATTGTTAAGCATATTGTTTGAGTTTAGTTCACATTCATAGAGTGTCTAACAGTTTCTTGATTCCCATATTTGTTAATATTCTTCTTTGCAACATATTTCTCTATTTAATTTATTATCTATCTTAATTAGCTTATTTAATTGAATGATTACATTTATTTTCCTTTTTCTAACTTAGTTAAATAATTATATTGATTTATTAAATTTTGATTTCTTTCTTTGTGTCTTTGTAATGAAAGATAATTATAATTATGAGTATAAATATAAAGAAGATGATAATGTTGGTGGTCATTGATATGACATAATTTCATTTGCTTCAAGTTCTAATTATTTAAATAGTGGTACTAAAAGACCTTTTAAAAAAGAATTATAAATAAGGAATAATAAGAAACATGTTAAAAAAAAATTTCCAAATATTTATTTTGTCAAATTTTGTCAACTAACATCAAATTCATGTAATTTAAATATTCAAAATATTTATTTAAAAATACTATTAATATTGTAGAGCATACATTAAACATCTCTTTTGTAATAACAAATAAATAAAATAAATAATAAACAATCTTTTGATGATTAAATACATTGATGTAAAAGATGGCATGCTTTTAATCATTATCTTTTGTTATTAATAAAGTACTATAATTCTTGGTAGACCTAATGTTAATATTAACTATTTTTATATAGGGACAATTCTATATATCACTTAATATAAGGAAAAAACAAAGGTAACAAACAAATGGAAGATTTTAATAATCACATTACAAATTTTGATCCCTGAAATTCTTGGTAATACCAATGTTCACTTTGTCCGATTTTGTTGCAAATGATGATGTTATTCAAGATAATCATAATTCATAATTTAAACAAATGATATAAATGATGATGTTATTCAAGACAGATAATCATAATTCTAATTTAAATACAAATGATACAAATGATGATGTTATTAAGAAGACAATCATAATTCTAATTTAAATTAGAATTATTATCTTCCATAATTGATATTTTATCTTCTGTTACTACTTCTGTAAAGTCAATGTTATTATCATAATGATAAATAAATATAAAATTTTCAATGTGCGTATGAACAAATTTATATAGGATAAGTTTTTTTTTGATTTTCGATAAACGTACAATAATAGATGAAAAGTATATCTGAATTCGACCATTCTGTGATTACTTTTATATAGTAATCTGTACTTTTATATTTTTTTAAAAAAGAGATAAAATCGGTGTAGTCAAATATTCCAATTCCAGTAGTACTTTTACACATGGCAAAAAAGACAATTGAGCAGTCCATACTCTTAGCATCACCCAGGATATCATATCAACAAAATGAAGATGTAACTTTGTAGAGAAAGGTCTTGGCTTCAAAAACATGATTTATTTTTGGGACGTTGCATTTCTATTTTGGAGGATTTGAAGGATCTACACGACCAATAAAAAGTTGCACTATTAATATATATATTAATTAATATACACTTGTTTGTATGACAGCATAAAAAAGAAAAAAAAATTTTTCTTTTCTACAAAAAAAAAATATATCTAAATATTATAGAGGATATGACTATACGTTATACTAGATTAAATTCTTCATGGTTTATAATTTCCAAAAAAACAAAATTTTTATTTAAATTATTATTTATACTGTTGATTTTATCAACAATAATCTTCTTTTTAACGTATAACGTGACATTAAATTTAAGAATATATTTGAAAGACTGGATAACTAACGAGGAATTTGGACGTGAGGCATTGTCTAGTTATGGCTGTTTTTCAAAAAACGTTTCAGAAAATGATCAAAAGAAAATTTACGATGGTCCAAAGATTGTTTATAATGAAATAGTTCCACCAACACCGTTAACTGAAGCATGGGATTGTTATGATTTTGCTAATAGGATCAGATTACTACCGGGACAACCCAGAGAACATGTGGTATTTCATTCGTACTGGAGAATAGATTTAAAAGAAATAGGCGAAAAACAAATTGCCACTTTGAGATCTTTCTTTGCCACACAAGATAATAATTATTCTTCATTGATCCTTTGGTCAAATGGAAATCTATCAAATGATAAAGGACTTGAACCATTTTTTGAAAAATACCCTGATAGGTTTAGTACAAGGTTGTACGAGGTAGAGAAAGAAAGTAGCGGTACCCCGATTGAAAATTCACAATACATAAATATTAAAGATGATCTAGCATATTTGGATGGAGACTTGGTCAGATTGTTAGTTTTGTACAAGTATGGAGGTGTGTGGTTTGATATGGATTCACTTTTCATAAGGGATTTTTCACCGTTAGTAGAACACGAATGGGTTGGACAATGGGATTGTTTTATACCTGATGGATTTCCATTTAACGGGGCATTTATGAGATTTCGTAAAAATTCACCGTATGTATGTGAAATGCTGTCAGAAATACACAATGGACCACAACCAGGAAAGAATTCATTTAATTGGGGATCTTATTTGTATTTAAAAATTTATAGGAGATTGATTCAAAATGGTAAACAACCATTTAAAATCATTCCGTGGTGTTTCACCGATTCGCACGTTTGTCGTCCTAGTAATAGCATGCCAAGTGCTTTTGAAGAGAATGATGGGTTTAACAAAGATAGATTATTACAAACATTTGCATATCATTGGCATAATCAATGGGAAAAGAAACCAGGTAGTTTATTCAGATTTTTGGAAGAAAGACATAAAGTCTTGGATCTTGAATAAATCGTTTATTCATTTTATTTATTTATTTATTTTTTTAATCATGTCAAAAAGTAATAATAATAATAATAATAATAACAATAATACTTTAAATACACTGTAATATATAATTTCCATTTTCATTAATTAAATTTAACTTTTTCACACATATGGAACGATGTTGGTAGAATGTTTACCTACATATATATGCACATACATATACAGCCAACCCTCATAGATGCACGTCCTCTCTAAATGCATGTTGCTTAGAGAGTGTTGACTGCATTTACAGCTTACTAATACATACGCACTCGAATAATATTTTTTGAATTTGAGACAAAGCAAATACCTCCAAAGAATAAGAAAATGGTGTTGTTGTCAGTGTTTAGAATTATTACTTCAAAAGCCGAATTACTGAAGCGTTGTATCGTGTGCACAGGAAGACCAGCAGGTCCTGCCGGATGTATACAACCACAAGGCTGTAGGCTCATACAAACGTAGAACCGTTCGTTTGTGTCCCAGCAGTAAAGTAACAATACTAACTTTCTTAATTTTTCAATATTGCATCAAAAGCTTTTGATAATTTTAGAGATCACGTTTTTATGTAGGACAACAGGAAAACTAGGAAATAAATATTGCAACTTTACAGGTTTGTTTTTTTAAACAACATAGAAATGGAAGATAATATGATAATTGATACTTCTTCTACGGCAAAAAGTTCTCTCGCACAAAATTTCCAAGAAATAGTTACAAACAATCAGGTTGTTCTGGATTGGAAGTAAGTGCTTTCAGACCGTTCGTTATGACAAAAATTATATTTATATATATATATGTATATGTATTATTAATTCAAAGGCATTTATCAAATTTTTATAAAGTATATCTATTGACATATGTTACTCTTTATTTATTGATCAAATAATTTATTAAAACCTGAATATATATATAAATATATATATTTTTTGTAGATATGAAATGCGACGTCAGATGCAAGAAATACTTCCAGGTCTATTTTTAGGACCGTATTCCTGTTCAAAAGATCTTCAAATGCTTCAACAAAACACCATAACACATATTGTCTCCATTAGGGATTCATCAGAAAAAACGTTATTACGTCCAAGGTTTCCTGAACATTTTAAATACTTTGAAATCGAAGTCTCAGATTCTCCAAACGAACGATTGATACCACATTTTCCACAAGCAAAAGCATTCATTGATAACGCCCTTTTAAATAATGGCAAAGTGTTTGTTCATTGTAATGGTGGAATTTCAAGAAGTCCAGCGTTTGTAGTAGCATATGTTATGGAAACAACTAAAATGGATTATCAGCATGCATATGGTTTTGTTCAAAATAGAAGATTTTGTATGAATCCTAATGAGGGTTTCAAAGTACAATTAAAGGTATAAAAATACACACGCATTAATTGACTCTTAAAATGAATGAACAAAAGTATACACGAATAATATTATTGATATTGTAATTTTATATTTATCATTTAATTTATAGGAATATGAACCTATTTATTCTGCAAGAGATTCGATCAACTCACATCAATATACTCAAGCAGAAAGAGAACGACAAGCTGTACGAAGACGTGCGCCTGACGATGAAGAAACGTAAGATAGCTACTATACAAAATACATATTATCTATCCATTTATTTACATAATTTTTGTTTTGGTAAAAATTTACATTTTTATTGTTATTGTTATTGTTATTGTTAATTTATACTACTTTTATTATAGAAATGAATATGAATTGGCTAGAAAACTTCCTTCTTTTCACGATGAAACACAAATGCAAAGGTGAAATTAAATTTTAATTACATTCGAAAACGCAGTAAAGGCAATCAACCATCAAGTATGTATATGTGTTCACTATAAAGAACCAAAAATCAACAATAACAGTTAACAATATATATAAAGTCAAACAAAACATGTATTCATTATTAAGTCAACAATAAAAATTAATTAACAAATATATATATATATATAAAGGCAAACAAAGTTTAAAAAATAATTACTTTATTTTTTTTTTTGTATATTTTTTTTTTTTTTTAAATTTACAATATGAATAAAAAAGTAAAAAAAATGGAAAAAATAAATTGCAAATAAAAAAAATTTATAATATGAAATGTAAAATTAATAAAATTAATGTATATTAAAAAGTTCTAAACTAATAATATTAAATAAAACCAATTTACTATTAACAATTATATATTTAAAATGTATATATATTTTTTTAAAAGTTTATAAATAATTCACCACCCCCAACTCCAAGGAAATATTATGTTTTTATTATTGGAAACCAAATCCTGTCGTTCCTTCTGATGTTGCTAATAAAAGATTTTGTCTTAATTGTTCATAACTTTCATATTCAGGAATATCCAATTGATTGAAACTATATATAATTTTAAATTAATTTTAATTAATAACCATTATTTAATAAACCATAATAAAACCATAATGAAAAATTTATTTACCATGTATGAGCAGAAGGTAATCGATTAGTTTTAGTAAAGTCTTTATGTATTTGGAATTTTTGTACACCGTGAACTCCTTGAAGGGCAGAAAATCCTTCTAATGGGACTTTGGAAGTACCCGTGACAAATTGAAGTAATTTGGCTCGTTCTTCTTGACTAAAGCTCCGTACAACTCTCCAGAACCATTGAATTTGTGGAGATGATGCTGTATAGTTTTGATATTCTGTATTATTCTTCCAATCATCAATATCAATATCTGGTAGACCAGAAATTAATAATTCAAGTTCTTGTTCATTAAATATTTTTATTAGATTTGCGGGAATGATTTCGTGGAAGCCTGAAAGGAAACTTTCAATTTGATCTTTAATTGCTAATGTGAGTCTCTGTTCAGTTACAAGTTTAACATATTCTCTCTTGTTCTCTTCTGTTACTGTAATATTTCTACCATTAGTTTTCAAATCAATGATTTTCTTTTGTCCAAAGTCATCTACTTCTACACTGAACGTCAAATCGACAACATTTGTAATATCGTTATTTAACATCCATACCAAACTATTATAATATCCTAAATCTATTGCCTCTACATCCCGATAATCAACAGCTTTTCCGAGAATATGTTTATAAAATGATCTTGTGAAATATGCGTCTAAAAGTCTACCATCATAAATAGCTTTGCCAATTACACGTCCTACGAATTTAAAGAATAATAAATGTTCTGGATTAGCACCCGAAGCTCTATTCGGTTGATATGTAAGTCTGTCAGCTGCTGAAGTTTTGAATAACGCATAATCTTCATTAAACATTTGTCTAGCAAGAACTTGGAACCATTCTCTTGTAACACCGCCGGCATCTACACCTTCTTCCTCATAAAATCGTACACTAAGTTTTCCATATTTAATTTCATCCCCAGTTCTCCTTTGTAAATTTTGGAACGAGTCTTCAAACACATATTGTCTTCGAACATTAAGTTGCAAGGTTCCATAATGCTCTCTGCCATTTGTTCGTTTGTGTAGTTGTTGATTGAAATAATTCCTTTTGTTATCAAATTCAAGTATCTTTGGATTATTGACAAGCAACGAAAACGATCCACTCATTAGCGAAGGGTTGTTTCTGACCATCGTATTAAGAATCTTACGGTGTTCCTCTGTGAAAGAAAAGAACAGGTTTTCCATGTTTTCGGATGCATTACTCCTATGTCCACTTGGTGGTGTCATACCAACATATTTACAAACAACCATCAATGATTCGATAAGAGGTAAGAGTACAGTTGCCACATGTATCATGTCTTGTTTTTCATGTATTGTTAATAAACATTTTCCAAGCTTGTTCCAAAGATCGGCAAAACTAAGACTTTCATAAATTTTCATTACTTTTTCTTCATCTGGAGCCAATTTACTAGTTCTCAAGCTTCCTTCTAATGTTCTCGGTTGAGCTAAATCTGCATCTTCTGGGTCAACAGTTGGTGCAACTACTACCTGTGTGTTTGATTGAGCATTTGTCTGTTGTTGTTGCCCACTACTATACATGTAGTCTATAGTCTTGAGTACGCGTAGCAATTTTGCTTGTTTTGATGATGAAGGCGAAAACTTGGCTAGAGTTACACCTTGAACATCAACACCTGTATCTGCTTTGTGTAATATCTGTGCTAACTCGTCAAGGTCACAATGTATTTCATTGCCCAAAGATTGTGCACGATCAACCAACTCGGAAGTGATAATTTCTCTTGCTCCTTTTAAAGTTGAAAGGTATTGAATAACTGTTAATGTACATTTGAATGTATTGCCTGTGCATTCACCTACTGTCATTACATTCACCACTGATCGTAAACAATATTCAGGAATTACTGGTGGTTTAAGTTTAGGTTGTTGTTCGGTTTCTGGTGGTTTAGATGAAGATGCAGTGGCTGGTTTATCATTTTCAGGAACTTCCACATTTTGATCTGACGAAGTGTTCTCGTTATTATTTTGTGCTAGTGGTGGTGAAGATTGTGGTGTGGTTGATGTAGTTATATCAATTAAATCGAGGTTGGGTGTGTTGGTTGAAGTAGTTGTAGTATTTACAGCCGTTGAAGTGGTTGCATTAGTTGTGTTATTGTTATTGGTAGTGTTGGATGTATTTGTGGTGGTGGTATTGGGTTGATTATTTTTTGCAATTGATGATAATGGTCGTAAGACAAATGAAAGTAGAGTCATTAATTGTTCCATTAAAGATGTATTTCTTATGAATACTTGTCTATCTAAAAGGCTAAGTAATATTACTACAGGATATTTGCTTGTGACAGATTTTTGTTTTTCTTTTCCCTTACGACTATTCGTTCTTTTAAGCCCGATATTGTTTTCATGTTCCATTAAGAAATACGTGACAGATGCTTCGTTATAACTAACAATAAAAGTCAAAGCTTCTAAACAACGTTGAGCTATTAAATTGGGAACATTTTCTCCTGCTGCTTGAGTTATCTGAGAAAGTGAAGGATTAGGTACCCCTGAATGTCTCCTAGTTAAACCTTTCGTTGATGTTGATCCTTTGTTTTTTATAGACATTTGAGCAAAACTTTTATCAACAGATGCTACATCGCCGCTTCCGTCAAATAGAACAGATAGTAACATTGATACCAATTCGCCACGTGAGTTGCTATTTTCGCAAAGATTAAGCAATAATTTATGTAGTAAATTTTTATTATTTAATGGTTGTGGCAAGAATAATAATCTGACTAATGTAGATAATCCTTGAGTGTCAACAAGTTTAACTGCATCACGTTGAACTGCAGGTTTTTTAGGTGTTGGTATTTGTGGAACAGAACTAGTAAGTGTTCTTGATCTAACTGCATTTGTGTATCTACGACTTGCTCTTTCACGTAATGCATTGGCTTCTGCAGCAATCGCTGGAGGCAATGATGCTAAAACCATGTCATCTTGCTCAAGTAAAACTGTTTGCCTCAGGTGAGGATCTAAAGATGCAAAGAAACTTGCAGTATCCATTTCAACTGCAGCAGGCTCTGTGGTTCTTTGCCTATCTCTTCTTTCTTGTTGTCCTATTGCTTCTTCTTGCTGTAAAAGTTCCTCCCTTAAATCATCGGGTAGTGCAGCAAGGAATTCAGAACTAATTTCACCGGTTCCAGTTACAGTAGTATTTGTACGTCTTTGAGGTAAATGTTGATTTATAATTTCTTCTCTTAAATCTTCCGGCAATGCTTCAAGGAAAGTGGGATCAATACCAGTATCAGTAATATCAACAGGTTGACCATTGATTATTACTGTAGTTCTTGTAGCAGGTGGTTGCTGTTGTTCTTGCGGTGTTTCAGTTGAACCTTGAGCAGAACTTTCGCCACCTACTTGAGTTGATGTGGAGGATGCAACAATAGTTGAAGCAGTAACTGGTTCATCTTCTTCCATTACGGTATCCTGACTAACTTCCTCTTCTTCCTCCTCTTCCTCCTCCTCCTCCTCTTCCTCCATAGCACTAGAGTCCTCTACCTGTTGGGTTACATCTTCTTGCATGGCGTCAACTATTTCATCATTGTTGTTATTTTCTTCATTGTTATTATTTTCTTCATCAGTTGTAGTTTGAGTTATTTCTTGCTGTTCATTTGTCGATGTGGATTGAGTATTTGCTGCGGCTGATTCGGCTCTTTCTCTTTCCAATTCAGCTTCAGCTTCTATTCTTCTTTGCTCTTCTTCCTCTGCTTTTCTAATTTCTTCTAAACGAATTTTTTTATCGTTTTCTATTTTTTCTCTATTTTTTTTTTCATCTTCTATTGCTTGTGGGATTAATTCATTCAAAACACGATTGGCTAATTTGGTTGCTTTATCGGTCACCATACTGCCATACATCATACGAGCCTCTTCATACCACCTATTACCAGTTTGTAAAGGCATAAATTCTTGAACTGCAGCAATAGGATCACTTGGAGGTGTGCTATTTTGATTATCTTGAGCATTTGAAGATACTCTTTGGAAAACACGATCTACCTCAATTCCACTAACCAACCCGCTTGAACCAGGATTCAATTCAAGTCTATAAGTAGGTCGATTAAGATCGCGCCCTCTTGTTAATAATTGTTCTAATAATTGAACTGCTCCACCGCCAATTAATTCTTCGATTGAATGTGTCCAGTCACCTAATGGTCCATTTCTAATACTTCTACCTCTAGATAGTTCAATTCCGGCAACTGAAGGTGTAGTTGGGGCTCTATTGACGAGCAATGGATGTGTAATTATATCATCGTTTGAGCTAGTAATAGGTCTAGTTCTATTTAATCCTGGAATATCAACTTCATCATTTCCACCAATGTTAAATGTATAGCCGTCTGAATCTTCAAATACATAGTTAAAGCTTTCTGATGGAACTTCTAATATAGTTCTACGACCAGCCAAATGTCGATGTCGTCTGTTGCCAAAACTAAATAAAGCACGTCCAGCACGATTTGGTATAGAAAACTCGTCATCATTCATGAAAAGAGCACTAGGTTGATTGAAGCCCCAATTGGTGAAATTTAGACGTTCTTCTTCAAAACTATCTACCAAAGCACCTGGATGATCCAACGCAACATCGTTTTCTTCGACATCATCAGCATCTTCTTCATCATCTTCTTCGTCATCTTCATCATCTTCTTCATCGTCCTCGTCTACTATCATTAAATCACGATCTCCAACATCGTCGTCTCCACCAAATCGTTCACGGTGACGATGGCGATGAATATGGCCTTCAACGTCATCATTAATAATAGCCTCTTCTCTGATATCACCGGGTTCAATCATAACTTGATCGTGAACATCCCACATTTCTTGATCCTCATCTCCATCTCTATCATCATGATGATGGTGGTGGTGGTGGTGGTTGTGTTCCTCGTCTGTATCATCATCATTTTCTAAGTGTTGGTTAATAGAATTTTGTCCATCATCGTCATCAGATCTTTGATCATTAACTTCATTTTCTAAAATTGCTGCATGTCCGCGTATTGGTTGGCGAACAACAATCTCAACATCCATTCCCTCATCATCGTTATCATCATCGTCACCTTCATCTACATCACTAATATCGCTAATATCACTGCCACTTTCTTCTTCAAAATCTTCTTCGAATGCTTGTTCTTCACCCGAAGTGTCAACATCATCATCATCGCTTTCTATTCTACCCTCAAGAGCACCAAGTACCGAGTTTGCATACAAGTCAGGAGCATCTTCAGTTTCCGGATGCATTTCTTCAACTGAAGGTGGTGTGGAAATCGATGAAATGCTTTCTTGTTCATCGCTATTATCTTTGTTACTACTATCTGTAGAATCAGGTGATCTTCCTAATTTAATTGCTACTTTTGTAAGAAATTCAAACGGTTTTAACAAAGCGTTGATAAGTATTCTAGCTGAAGGATAGTTAAGATCTATCTCTGCAAGTGCATCGGTTAAAATATTGACAAAATTTTTATCCAACATAATTCTAGCTATACTGGCTGGATTATCCTCATTTGGTTTGTTTGCACTGTTTGGACTTGCGCGAGCTGTTAATAATGCATAACATAACTCGGCCAAAGCTAACAATCTACCGTATTTTGCTTCAATTGGATCAGTTGAAGCAATTGCACTTTTAAATGAACGAATAATTGTATCCAAAACAAATTTCCTAACTTGAATTAAATCATGTAGTTGTTGTTGTACAAGTTTTTTATTATCTGCTTCATTATTATTATTGTTATTATTATTGATGCTAGAACATAAAGCTACCAATGTGTAAGTAGTCCACTTAGATTGACCATATCTTTTACGCATTTCAATATCAGTTGAAGGTGTGATGCAGCCATAAGGCAAGAATTCATTCAAAAGGTGATTTAATAAGAATGGTTTCGATTTTGTATTACTGTTATTATTATAAACATTTACACTATTTCTACGTCTAGAAAGATTAACTACTTCCATTTTACATGAAGGATATGACGAAAGTAATTCAGTTAAACATTGTAACAAGAAACATCTAGATAAATAATCTTGATGTTCTTCAGGTTTAAAGACTGGTTGGTTGCCATTGACATTGTTATTGGTATTGCTATTGTTATTAATGCTATTATTGTCAATAGTAGAAGAAATATTACCAATTGATAGTAACTCGTGTGAGATAAACTGAATTAGGCTTTCAGTTTCATCTAAATCATATATAGTTTTTTTTGGTGATGATTGAATTGGAACAGATGTTGATGCTTGTACGTCTGTAATCATCTCTTCTTCATTTGCATGTGTTGTGGTGGCAGCAGTAGTAATAGTAGTATCTTGATTTGTAGTGGCATTAGATGGTGTGTCGTTATTAGTTGTTGTTGTTGCTGTTGCTGATTCTTCTGTTGTTGCTGCTGATGTGGATGCTGCTGCTGCTGTTGGTGTTGTTGTTGGCGTTGTTGTTGGTATTGTTGTTGCTGTTGATTCCTCAACACCGCCTTGTTTTATCAGCGTGATTTGTTGAGTCCTTCCATTAGGATCATATCTATTCAACTTGCATATTTTTTTGGTTACCTTTACAAATATATCATGATTACGTAAGGCATATTGTGGCGTATTTTTAAGGTATGCATTAACATCAACAGTTCTTGGACGTGGATTTGTAAACCAATTTTTGATCTCCCTCTCCATTATATTTTCTATTACTGATTCGTCTTCGATTACATGTCTCATTAACATTGCCAAGAAAATTTGTTGTCCACGGAAGTCATGTGCTCTTTTTTTGAAAATCTCAAACAAATATGCTAAACCATCTTTTCTCATAAACTCCAAAGCAACATCATGTTGACGAGTAAGGCGAACAAAAATACGAAGTAATGCATTAATAAGATCTTTATCAAGATCATCTCCCCGTCTTACTAGTCCTAAACAGTAACCAAGAAGATTTAATCTTTCTATTTCATTTGGTACCATAGTATTTATTCCTGCATCTTCAAAATTTATAGGATCTTCAGGCGATTTGGCGGTTTTTAATGGACCAACCGATTTAGGTTCATCTGACAAAGATATTAGAGATTCGACGATCAATAAAGCTGGGGTTAGCCATTTAGGTAATTCTGGTTTCGTCTTTGAAAGAGAAATATCAGATATCCTATCAAACAAGTCAGTCACTAAACTATCAAATATTATTATTGATACATTGCTTTGAATAGTTGTTTCATTCATTAAAAGTGCTAAAAGTCTTAATCTTGAGCTCAAAACAGCAGACTCCTTCTTTTTTGATTCGTCATCACCATCATCTGGCTGTTGTTTCATAGCAGATTGGATGCACTCTATTATAAATGCGATGGTTTGATCTAGATCATCCTTACTAAAAAGTACAAATAAGTCTTTAATTTCAAAAATAATGTCTTCGACTTGATCCAATAATTCAATAGCACGTAATTGTCCATTAGATTTAAGTTTTTCACGTAATTGTTTAAATTGATCTAATGTCGAAGTTTCAGTTTCTTTTCCTTTGCCCTTATCAGTTTTTTTGGTGCTAGCTGCGGCATCAGAGGTTGTTTCTGTTTCCATAGGGACACTAGTATCATTATTACTGCTTGAACTTGCTTCAACAGCTAAATTAGCAGATTGTGTTGGCAATGAAAGACCTTGTGATAAAGCTGAATGATCAACTGAACTAGTCTCTTCATCAAGATCAGATGCATCATCCTCTTCATCTTCACCTTCGTCACCGGGTGTTCCAAATATATCAACATTCAGATTAGAGCTAGCACTAGTACCAGTGGTCAAACCAGATTCTGTTTCTGTGTTTTCAGTTAAATTATTGTTTGTAGTAGTGGTAACAGTTATTGCAGCAGATTCTCGATTAGATGATTCATTTTCTTGTTGTCGGGAAGCTTCAAGTGAAATGGCTGCAGCTATTGTTTGAGGATGGGTGAGTAAGAATTCGGCAGCAGTTGGAACATGATTATTACAACGTGACAAAGCAGCTTCAGCAGCAGAACGAGGAAAACCCATATCAAGAAGTTGTTGTACTCTATCCTCGTCTGGAATTGTGTTTCTATGCCCAAATATTAAGGGTGTTGCTGATGATAAAGATGAAGTGCCTGAGCCTGAACCAGATCCTTCAGGACGTTGATTTACTTCGCCGTCTGCTTTCAAAATTTGGACTAAATTTTGAATTACCAACTTAACAAGATTTGGAGGAGCTTTTAATAAATATGAGCTTTGCCAAAGTTCATTGATCGCAGGTAAAATTTTTGATCGAATTTTAACGAGGAAACTATATGGATCAAATTTATCAAAACGAGGATCTTTTTCCTTTGCTGTCATAATTGCAGTCTGAGATGATTCGTGTAATGATTTAGCTGAGGCAACAAATTGGAAAAAATTAAGTATAATTTTAATACATTCATGAATTCTTCCGAGTTTTTCTTTTGACTTGTCATCTGATTTTAAACATTCTTCTGATTCTTTGAATAGATCTGGTTCCTCCCAAAAGCGTTGCAATAAATAAATAACATGATCTAAGCCACCAACTTTTTCAAAAGAAACAACCAACATAGTTTGTAATGAAACTTGATTTCGTTCTAATAAACATAAAAATATTGGTTTATTATTATTAGTTATTATTAATTTGTGTGAGAGCGTTGAGAGAAAAAATGATAAGTATATACCATCTGAAAATAATAATGATAATAATCCAAGCATTGCTGTGAGATAATTATATTTATTCGATGAATCCGTTTCACTATCTATTTCTGTAAAAAGAGTTGCAAGTTATTATACGATCATACTGTATTAAATTTTTTTGTAAACAAAATGTTTTTTGAAAAATCGGTATTATTATTACCATAACGTTTCCAATTTAAATGATCATGGAGAACACTAGCAATAGAATCAGAAACTTTTGATGCTTGTTTTCTTTGATTAGAATCAGGAGATTTACGGGTAAAAAGCATTTTGGCCAACCCTAATAAAACAACAATTATCAATTTCGATTACGAAGAAATAATTTTAATTTATTAAAATTTTTAAAGTGTATATATATTACCTTGAAATAAAGGAGTAAGGCAAGAAGGTATTTGTGATATTAAAAATTTTAAAAATTTTGAATTTTTAACTTGGCGATTATTATGATCAACAGGAGGTTCATTTGGTAAGTCGGAAGTAGTGGCATTTGTTGTTGTTGGATCTTTATTACTACTATCAATATCATCAAATATTGAGGTTGTGGATGGAGATAAAAGAGGTGATTTTTTGCTTTTAGGTTGCAAATTATACCATGATTTTGGAATTGTAGATTTTAATACAACATTTTCCCAGACACAAGTTCTATATATCATTTAGATGAAATAAATCATATAATTATATAATTATTTATATATTTAATACGTAGCAAGTAATATTATAAACGGTTACCTGTGTAATTTTCCAAGTGATGATAATATTTCGTTGTCGTTCCCAACAAAAGCTTCGATCAATGATGATGACACGCTTTTTCCATGAGAGAAGACTGTAGAACAATATACATCTGAAAGTAATCCAACATAACCATGTAAAGTGATCAAAGTTCTGAATGTTTTATTGGCAGCTTCTATTTTGGCTGTATCGTTAACTATATATTTATATATAAATGATTATTTATTTATCAAGTACAATTACAATATTTATATAGGTATAAAATAGATGAATAGATAGAAACCATACCTTTTAAATCAATATATTTAATGAACAAACCAGATTTTTCTTCGTAATTCAAAAAAGGTGAAGCATCTTGAAGTGTGTCATTTAGAACACTGATAATTGCAGCAACACTACGTCTTGGTTCAGCATCTGTTATTACTCTCATTAGGTGAGAAAGAGAATAAGATGCTTGTGAACTTGCAAAATCGTAAGGTACTGTTGGTAATGAGTAATATTTAAGTAATATGTTCAAGCCTTCATCTTGTTTTAGGAATTCCTTACAGTGACTTTGATTTTGGAAAAGACCTTCCAAGAACTTTTTAAAATAATTAAATTCAATATTGATTAAATTAATAATCATGTATATAAATTATAATAAAAATATTTATATATAATGATTAAAATACACACTCTTGCCATGATCTCGATAAAGGAAACCACTATATTTTCTTTCTTTTCTTCGGATTTTTGTGATTCGATAACATCAGTCATAATAGCATCTTGAGATGTAAAAGAGTCAGCGGCAAGGTTTTCTGAACCAATATTAATGGAAGAATCATCATCTGATACTCCCACATGTAAACTACAGGTGTCTTCATTAGCCGTCACAAATTGATCGCTTTGACCGAGTTCATATATACGTTTTAATGTGGTCATTATAGCATCCATAATGATTGGTTTTAAACTTGGATGATGTCGCATCAACTCATCAATATTAGTACCCAAGACAGAAGCGAGATCACCATCTTGAAGAGCACGTAAATGTTCAATGGAAGTAAATATCGAGAAAAATTTATCAATTGGATTCATTTGATTAAAGATTTCCATTCCTTGTAAGTTCAAACATATAGCACCAAAAGCATTAGGAATAGACTGAATAACCTAAAAACAAGCGAACATTATTATTGTCATTATTATTATTATTATTATTATTATTATTATTATTATTGTTATTATTTAAAATATTAATAATAAAAATTTAAAGAAAATCACGGCTTACATCAACAGAAGCAGGTATATCATTAATAATTGATTTTAAGAATGTTTGTGGTAATTTAGATTCCTGCATGATTGGCAAGGAAGTTGGCTCATTGTGAATGAATGTGGCGATCAAGTTTATTGCTTTTAAATATATATTTTTATTTCCCAAAAAAGTAAAGTTAGAAAAATCAAAAAAAAAAAAGGAAAGAAAAAGAAAAAGAAACATCAAAAAGGTAAATTACCGTGAGCGTAGATGCTACTTCCAAAAATACTTGGTTGTTCAAAAACTTTTTTCAAAGATTCCGGTAGAGTAGTGTCAATAAGATTTCTTAACCCGTCAGCGTTTCCAGAAGATTGCATCATATGATAAACAAATTTAAACATAGACTTTATCAAAGAAGATCTTTCGTAAGGAAGCGCTACTACCTCGGTTTCAGCATTTGCTGATTGAACACTAGTGGGTTCAATGCCTATAATGATGATAATATGTTATATTGGTATTCATAATTGTAAAGGAAAATGGCTTATCAAATGATGAATGAGAAGAAATATACTTTTTGATGTTGAAGCAATAGAACTGCTATTATTACTGCTTGTTACGGTAACATCTTCCATATGGTCACTTTGGGTATCTTTAACTGATTGAAATCCAAAATCAACTTCGTCCTAAAGGTTTTCCAAATTATAATCAATATACAAATAAATAAATAAATCAACCAGCACACTCGGCTAATAAATAAAAAACAAGTAATTATAATAATAATAAACCTTAATTCTTTGAACCAACACTCGAACTCCATTAGCATTACAAAACGAAGTAAAAGAGGGTTGGTTGAAACTATAAACCAGGCTATCCAAAAGACCAACAGCCTTTGTAACATTCTATTAAAATTTTAATTATTATTATTGTTGTTGTTGTTGTTGTAAATCTTTTCCAATAATAAAAATAAAAAATGCGAAAATAATAATTTTTTATTCTTACTTTTAATTGTTGATGTTTTTTATTGTTTAATAATTGTAAAAGTGTAGGAATTATTCCGGCTGATATTACCATGTTACCACCAATTTGCGTGGAGATTATATGAGTTATTAGAGCAAACACAGAATCGCAATAATCTTGAGGATATATTGCTAATGTAACAATAACAATAATTATTTATCGAATTAAGGATTGAAAAATAAAAATGAAAACAGAAAATGAATTACTAACGGTGTTCAGAATCTAAATCAGCGATAATTTTTCTTAAAACATATAAAAGTATTCCATGATTAGCAGAAGCGTTAATTGCCGTCAAAACTTCTTGAAGTTTAGAACGATAATGACTAATTCCATCTAATGCATAAAATGCAACTGTTTGAACATCCTTTTTTCCCCAAAAACCCCCTTGATTATTAGCCAACAACCAAAATAGAATTAATAAAAATAAAAATATATTTTCTCAATGACACTTACAAAAGGAACTTTACGATCAGGGTGTACTAATTCTGAAAGATTGGCCACAATGTCCGGTTCATATAAAAATATTTTTGATTGAGCAACATGTTCTTGAATAACATGAGCTATAAATATATAAATCATTAATACAAGTTGGTTGATTAATATAAATTGACTAATTGATTCGTTAATAAATAAATGCTAAAATACCCATGATTGCGATAGCAAGAATTCTTATTATTAAAAATCTACGACGAGATTCTTTTGAAGTAATACTGGTGACAATTCTAATTCGATTCAAAAGAGCATAATGAAATTCTTCAGGAATGTCATACTCTTGAACAAGACTATTTAAAATGTCCATATCTGTTCCAGGATATTGATGAATGTCATTTACACAAATTAGAGTAACGCCTTCAGAAGTAGTTTTTGATGTGCTGTTACTACCGCCAGAACTTGTAGATGTGGCTGTATCTTTTCTTTTGTTCTTTTGTGTTGTTGTAGTAGTGGTAGGGTTGGTTGTGCTGGTGGTTGTTGTGTTGGTTGTGCTGGTGGCACTGGTGGTGCTGGTGGTGCCAGTGATGCCAGTAGTGCTAGTGATGGTGGTAGATGATGATTCAACAACAACTTCTGAAGGAGTTAAATGACGATAGAATTGATAATTCAAAGTTGTTAATTCATTTGGAATGATAACGTCATCTGATGCAAGATGAACCATTTCAATATCATATTCTTTTGTGCCCCAGCTATGAGCTAATGTTAAAATTCTATCTTGTGAAATGTTAAAATTGGTTCGAAGAGCTCGTTGATTGCTAAGACGTTGAGCAGGTCGAAGAATCAAACGTAACAGAACCTCCAGAACCTCCAAATCATTTGTGTATAGCAAATCATTTAGATGCTACAAACACACATATATATAATATCGTGATTAGAAAGAAAAAAATAATTGATTTGTTAATTTTAATCTTGAGAAAAATAGAAAAATAGATATATATCATTAAAATCATTAAATAATACAGATAAATATTATAATAGCAAACCTCATATGAACTATATAGATTTCTGTTTGTGCAATTTTCTAATAATAACCGTGAAAATTTTAATATTGCTAACAATATACTACGACTAGGTTCTGAAAAATTTGCTGTTTGCAATTTTTTTAATTTATTATTTAAACAAATATTTTCAAGGATAGTGTCAAAACGATTTAAAACACCAATCCAGTGAAAAAGGTCTCCTCGTGGATGAATCCACTCTTTTACTGATTCAACTATCTCAGGTATTTCATCCTCTCGACAGTCGCTAAGTTTTTGTATAAGATTTTTGATCGATGGTATCTACAATATAATAAAACATACCATATTATTAATAATATAATTTTACAAGGAAAAAAATTTTTATATCCTTCTAATATCTTAAAGATCAATTGTGAATTTATTTTTCCGGAAAAACTATAAAGCTATACAATTGTATCTATTGAAACAAGCTCTAAAGTTAATAAATTCATAATACTTACAGGAGCAGCAAGTTTCTTTGGTGGGGATTTTTTGATTTTCATTATTTGTGTTATTATAGTAGTAGTAGTTGTTGTTGTTGTTGATTACAACAATTCAAATTTTAAAAAAGTTTTTGTGAAGTTTCGTAAACAAGATAATAATAAAAATAAATCCAATATATAGAGTAAAACACACGTGATCTTTGAAACAAATATTTTATAAAAAGAAAAAAAGTTAAACGTTGAAAGAATTATTAGTTTCCCAATTCTTTTAGTTAAAGAGACACAAAAAGACAGAAACAAAAGGGTTGGTGGTAACAAATTTTTAATAAATAAAAGACTATTTATTTAGTAATAAAATTTTTTTTTGTAAAAAAAAAGTACATACGTAATCATCATCATATAATCATTTTGTGACTCGACAAAAAAAAGCCAAGATAATAGAAATCAATCACTAACCCAAAAAAATCGGAATTTAATGGTTTTTTTTAAATCTCGACAAATTTTTTTTTGAATCATCCATTCCATCCATCGATGATAACAATAGCAATAACTAGGGATTTATTTTATTTTTTATTAATTGAATTGAATTGATATTCATGAATAATAACAATATAAATGTTAAGCAAAATAACCTTAATCCTAATCCTAATCAAAAAAAAGAGGGAAACTTCGGAAATTTTTGAACAATAAAAAAATTTTCCGAAATTTCTCTTAATTCGTTCATTACATTTTCCGGGGTTTTGAATTAAAAAATATATTTTTTTTTAAAAAAAAAATTCATTCTTGAAAAAAAATTTTTCACAAATATTATCAGAGCAATTATAACAATAATCCTAATAATTCCATCGGGATATCAATCTTTTGCTTATGGATATAGCAACAAGTACTTCTTCAATGCATATTAAAAATGAACATTTAATTCCTCCTCCTACTACTACACCTTCGCCTGATACAATGCAAATTGTTAACATTATGACTACTGCCACGACCACCACAACCACATCATCAAAAACCAATGTCGTTAACAACGGCAATAAAAGAGAAAGGAAATCTCGCAAACGTAAATTGTCTGAAGACAAAGTCGCAGAAAAACAACATTCAGAAGCCAATGAAATTCATGCTACAGTAAAGCATGAGAAAGAACAAAATAACGAAGAACTAAAACCTTTAAAACGAATACGTATAAAACTTCCTGCTGCGATTGTCGAAAAAGATATAGTTGAATCAAACGCTGTCATTACTAATACTAATAATAAAAAAAATGCTAATAATAATAATAATAAAACAGAACAACAGAATGGTAAAAACTTTACTCCATCTAAAACAAAAAAGAATAATAATTCTCGAAAACGACGACATTCCGACGACGAAAAACCAGTCGAATCCACCACCATCGTACAACCAAATAACATTGGCTCAACAAATAATAATTCCTCTGAAGAAACTAATTCTTTTAAAAAAGTCCACCTTGATGATTCAAGCACGAATCCACCACCAATTAAAAAATCATCAAAGAAGAAAAATAAAAATAAAAGTAAAAGTAAAAATAAAAATAAAACGAAAATGAAAATGATTGTAGTTTTGAAAACTAAGCCACAAATCAATGAATCACAAATTGTTGATGATAATAATGCCATTTCTTTAATGGAAGGAATTGAGCATAAATTCCTCGCCTCTAATGATCTTAATGTTAATAAATCATCATCACAAATAGAGCAAAAATCTATAAATAATAATACTGAATCGATTAATAATGTTGAATTTTCCGCCACCACTCAGCAACAACCAATTGATAATATATACATGACAGATAGTCAAACTCGAAAAAGAGGCAGAAGGAAAAGAGACGAGGAAGTAAAATATTCTGAATTTTCTGTCATGACAGATGATGGCCTATGGGTTCCTACTGACCCAGATAAAACTGCAGCAATAGAATTACTAGATTACTACAATTCCATTAAAAACCAATTTCCAAAAACTACTCGTGCACAATTACTTAAAATAGGAACTTACATTTTTGATAAGATTTTGACACAAGGTTTTGCTCGACCATTCATTAGTCCAGAGAATGAGGCTGCTTATGTATACCATCAATATATTCACAAATTGATGGATCTTACAACTGCTGAAAGTAATTTATGGTCTGGAAATTATAAATCACCTGATGATATATTTAAAGATATATTTCAAATTATGTTCAATGCGTTTATTTTTCATCGCCAACCTGGTGTGATTTACAAGGAAGCTGTTGAAATGAAAAAGTTCATCAAGGAAATTTTAGATCCTATAAATCATGGAAGTATCGAAACACGAATGGATATAATTGATATGAAAACGCCATATGAAGAATTTCAGTCAATATCATGTGTGAATTTAAACTCTGTCAGGTAATTAATGATTGTTGTTAGAAGGATGAGAAGATTTTTTTTTAAAGAAAAAATCCAAATCCAAATTCAAATCCAAGTCCAAACTCAAATCCAATTCTAATTATATAATATTTAATCTAATAGTAAAATTTTCATAATGCCATTCTATGAACTTTATCAATTGAATAAGTCACAATCAATCATGAATTTCAAAGCTGCTGAAAGGATAACATTATATAATGGACCAGTTTCTGAAGTTTTCAACAGAAAAAATTTACCAGAATATGTATTAGATGAATCAGCTACCAGTCATAATTTTGGTAGAGTCTATGTTACAAATAAACAATCGCAATTAGCCGAGTTAATCAATGACAAAAACGCAATACTCTTGCTGCTTAAAGATATAATATGGAACTCTAAAACCAACTTGTTAAAATGTAAGGTTTTAGTTGTTAAACCTTTTGGCAAATGTCATGACTTGGACCCGTGTATTTTTAATGAATTAAAAGATGGCAGATGTTGGGTTAGAGTTGTTTATTTGTACAAGGTTGACCTGGATCTTGAAGTGACAAGAAAGTTTTATGATACACTTGCAAGTGCAAGAAATCCTTTTTATGCCAGGGAATATTCTCATGATATGCTGACACCTGAAATGCACCAAAAATTTATGTCAGAACTTAATTTATTAAATAAAGATGATGGTAATGAAAGTAATTTACAAAAATTTGAATTCAAATCTCAAATTAATAATAAAAATATAAATATAACAAAAACTTCTTTGGATGATCAAGAAGGTATTATTTATGGTGAAACACTTGCACAAATGACAGATGTTGATCATCATTATCATGAAACTATTGCACAAAAGAATAAAGAAGACAAAAATTATAATATCAAAAACATGTACCAAAATTCTAATAATAAAAGTGCAACAACAACATCACCTGTGCAAATTAATAATAATAATAATAATAATAATAATAATAATAATAATAATAATAATAATAATAATAATAATAATAATAATA